TGACGGGTGGGAAATTCTCGTATAACCTCTCTCTCTCTCTCGCTCTATCTTTCTCTCTCTCTCCCTCTCTCTCTCTCTTTCTCTCTCTCCTCCACTCTCCCCCTCTCACTTTCTCTCCCTCTCTCTCTCCCCCTCTCTCTTTCTATATCTCTCTCTCTCTCTCTCTGCGCACCAAAGCCGATACTTTATGTCATTCCGGGGGTTACTTTATGTCATTCCGGGGGTTACTTTATGTCATTCCGGGGGTTACTTTATGTCATGGCGTCGTCATCATCATCATCATCATTATCATTATTATTTTATTCAGCAAAGTATATGATGTTGGTCGCTGTTGAAATATTTATTTTCATGTCACCATTGGTGGCTTAAGAAAATAAACCGATCATTTCTTTTATCCAATAGTACCGAATGTTTGTAATGTCTGCCTTCAAGATGGTTGCCGTGATTTTCTTTTGTACTAGACTCCACTGCTCCGATTATCAGACGTACGGCCATATCGTGTTAAAATACCGGTTCCCTAACGATTCGTACAAATCTAAAAGGATTACCTGGCTTTAAATAACCTGTATCATTGTAGTTGTTGATCTTTTCTTTGCGTTTTAGTACTGATGTCAATCCCTCGAAGTTAAGCAACGTCGAATCTGATCAGTATCTATATGGGTGGCCGCTTGGGAGTAACAGTTGTTGTTAGCTTGGATGTGCGGGTGGTGTAATGGATAATGACTCAGAATTATTAATTAGAGAGCCGAGTTCCAATTCCCGTTGGGTTCGTTATATTCACTTCCGGGCAAATACCATTGGGAAAGATATGAATTCACCTCTTCTCTCTTCTATTGGTTCTTTGATAGTGCTTCGCAAACTTTCAAAATTTTTTTTCGCCCCAAGCAAGGCGATAACGCCACTAAGACGCAAGAAGCTACTGGGTGTGAAAGTGAATAAGAAGGCTTTAGGAGAACGAATCGGAGACACAATCCTAAATAGGAAAGAAGGGACAAACCTCTACTCCGGTTCCAAAAAACGGGAAGCAGTGTGAACTGGGTGATAAACGAACCTTTAAGTCATTGCAAATGTCGATCTTCATTTCTTTGCGTTCCGTTCTCATTTCGATCTCCTGAAGGTAAGCAACTTTGAGACTGGTCAGTATCTAGATGGGTGACCGCTTCGGAATACCAGGTACTGTAACCTTGGAGGTGTGGGTAGGGTAATGAATAACGTCACGGAATTGTTAATCGGAGAGTCGAGTTCGAATTTCAGTCAGACCTGCCATGCCATTCCAGCTAAAACCTGCCATGCCACTTATATAGTAACAAACTACACACCACATTCCTTCTGTATTCCATCAACGAAAAGCAAATTCCACTCAATAGCTTCTTTCCGCGAAACACTGCACGATGTAAGAAACTCCCTCGAAGGTTTCCCCTGATCACTACAAATGTTCAAGTCTAGTCAACCATTATCTACCCCTCTTACCTATATAAACTACACCTTGACGTAACCCTCTAGCTCGAGTGGCTCCGGGCTCAGAAACTTACTGTAAAAATAATTATTATTTTCTATGTTCACCCCATGGGTGTTTGGTCATCATCACAACTTATTACTGAGGGTCCCATCTCTCACAATACGACTGTGCACACCCGCCAGCATCCCCCCTGCCCAGTCTCTGATGTCATCAGTCTAGGGTCACTTTGCTGTTCACCTCAGTCGCCTGCGATCCTCCAGGATGTGCTTGAAGTGGGCCCTGATGCAATTTTCGCTTCTTCATGGACGCAAACAAAAGCTTCTCTGTTCCCATCCCCCCCTCTTCCTCATTTACTTTGTGGCCCATCCAGCTGATGTACAGGTGCTTGGATGTATAATATTATCTCAAAAACATTATTTTGCCAACATTGGGGGTTTTCAGTGGCCATATTGCCTCAAATGTGCAGCGCCTATCATCGCAGACGCCACCCACGTCTGTACACTCTCAATGCTTAGCTTTGATTTCTAACGTATCCATTTTTCATTCCAGTCACTCCAAACAGGATTTCTCTTGTGAGTAGCATTGTAATCTTCAGATCCTATTTTTCTCTTGCTCTTCGGCAAGGTTTTATTATGTTTCTAATTTCCAAGTTTTCTTCACGTTAGCTTTATGCGTCACTAACAGAACAACGCCCACAATTATTATTATTATTATTATTATTATTATTATTATTATTATTATTATTAATAATATTATAAAAGAACCATATCAAAAAATGGCGTAAAGAGAATTGCAATGTGTTCCTTCATATTCTTTCATTTTAAACTCATCAACCGAGGGTGATATGTGCCCTCGGAGAAGCTTTTGACATGCCAAGCCTCAACAAACCCAGATGGCCCATTACGTACTTACGAAAAAAATAATTCCTCCGCTAACTACCTCCCTCCCTCTCTCTGCCTTTTTTCTTTTTTTGCTTTTCTCATACTTAAATACTATCGAGAAAAAATAAAGCGAACATATTGACGCATGAAATAAATTACATAAATTATTTTATTAAAACTAAAAAATAAAATGAGATTAATTTCCTTTAAAAAGAAAAGGAAAAACACAAAGTAAAAAAAAGTACAAAAAGCTATTGAAATTGATCGATAACATGTAAAGGGAGCGGGGAGGGAGAAGTAAAAAATCAATTACCGTTGCCTTGATCAATATCCGTTTTATAATTACTAATTGGTGATAATTGTTTCTATTTTGCCTTTAGTTGCAACGTTAAAATATATATATATATATATATATATATATATATATATATATATATATATATATATACTTTTTTAGGATATTACATCAAACTATGTGAATAACGTTACACAAATTCAATCATGTTTCGATGTGTATTAAGACATCTCATCAGGCGTTAGTAAATGACTCGTTAGTACACAATTTATTGAGTTTTAAAACCACATACAGCCTTTTTTCACGCGAAGAAAAGAAAAGAAAAAGAGTAAGAAAGAAAGACACAAGATACAATCTCTTTTCCAGAGAAAAGGAAGAATAAGGAAAAAGAATAGGAAAGAAGAGGGAGGGGATAGCGGCAGGATTTGTTTTGTTTATAATCAGATTCACCAATGAAAATGGCCTACGCTAAGAAAGAGGTCATGACCCACAGATTTAATATCGTAGACTACTTAGGCATTATATTCAATACAAATTTAAGTTTGGTACAATGTTAACATAAGACAAATGACATTTCATCTGAGAAAGGAAACGTAATTTAACAAGACCCTTAACAAACCGCATAACTTGTGAGTTAAAAATTAGAATTTCACAATTTTATAGTCGGTAAATAATATGTCTCTTTAAAAAATAAGAGAAAAGAAAAGGAAAATAATTAAATAAAATTACTAAAAATATAAAGATCAAACAAAATAGAATGCGACTATTAACTAAAGGGTCTTATATAGGATGTTAATAAAACCAATCAATAACAAATTTCAAAATGTCAGCCAAACGCATATACCTCTAGACTAAATATTACCAGCAGTGCTAGAAGAATAATGGATACTACGTCGAAGTTGATCTTATTAACAGAAAGATAAGCTTTATATGGTGCAACAAGTTTTTTCTAAAATATAAGAAGAAGCAATTGTCAAATTTCAAAGTCTAACAAGATTTTAGATTCAAAGGTATGATATGTTTACAACTAACCGTTAATTCAAATTTTTGATTTAATAAATCATCCTTATTCAAAAACCTGATAATCCGCATTTTCTCCTGTAAACACAGAAAACAAAGTTCGCGTAAGGATTTACATGCCCTTGCAAAATTTAAAATTTTCCATTTATCTTTAGGTGTTTGATTTTCATCTTTCAACTTCCAAAATTGTTTTGAAAGTAGAGTAGTATTTCTATAAGTAATATTAGTAAAAGAAATAATTTGCTGATAACACCGGGTTTTGAAAGACTTCTTAGTGCTACCAATATAAAACTTTTAAACCCTCGGATTTTCTATTGCAGAGATATAGCAAAGATACATAAGAGATTCGGTTAAACATTTGTTAGACAATGGAACATTTTTTAGGATTCCTATAATTACACTGGTCACTGTCCTTAACAATATTTTAATTTGTCTTTGCATTATGATTAAAATTATTAAATAGGTTTTGAGTTTTATTGTTGTGCAACTTTATGATTTTCTCGATATTATTGGCGCAATTATAACTAAGTTTTAATACATTTCTATTAAATATTTTACTAATAGTGTTCCTTTTCGGGAAACGTTTATCGATTAATTTGAGAAACTTA